GAGAGAAAATAAGCTTAAAAAGTTTTTTCATTTACACAATTTTTTTTACTAAAGAAAAGCAATAATTGTATTTATAAATTAGGCACAAAGACCATAAGTTATAAGAGCTATTACAAATACCCATAAAGGGTTAATACAAAGATGAAAGTGTAGTAACCACGCAGGGTTAATCCAGATACCTAAAAACACATCGGCAACATCAAGAGCACAAGGTGTATCCCCACTAATAGCCACACAAGGCCAAAGAAATTTTTGCATAAAAACTGCAAGCATGAACAAATCAGACATGAACTACAATGCCTAAAACTACCACTACAACTTTAAAACTCTCACAAGTAGAGATTAGACTACAAATAAACACCCAACTCAGCCTTGATGCAATTATTACAACTCAAGAAACTGTAAACACCCAACTCACCAAAGATTCCAAGGGCAACAAAACTACAAGAGTCGCCAACAAAATCACCAGCCCAAACAAGTGAAAATCTAGCCAAAAAACAGGTAAACAATCTCAAGAGAGGGGAGGAACGGAGAGAAAGGGAGGGGATGGAGGGGTAGAGAAGGAGAGGAAGGGAGAGAGAAGGTAAGGGAAGGGGAGGAGAGGGGTGGGGAAGGAGGCCGCCACCCCTAAAGGAGGTGGCGATTGGAGCTAAGTTAATGAGGGTGTTTTTTTTAAAGGGTAAACTAAAAAGAAAATAATCATAATGCACTTTCCTAATATTTAATCCACGTTACTAGTTACTGGTTACTAGCCCCTTTTTTTTGGGTTCGAAGTTATTGGTTATTGATGTACCACAATTGTCAAATGGAAAAAAACCTTACTTATAACGGGGATATCACTGTTTTGCTATTCCCAGCTAGTAACATAATGACATGTGAAAAAATTATCCCATATGTCATTATATTATTGGCCAAAAATAGCAAAAAATGCTATTTCGTTGCATGATAATTTTCTCCCTTACCAAACCCATTTCAAAAGGTACTATTACTATTACTAGTTACTAGTTACTGCTGTACTGATAATTATTCTCTTTTGGATGACTTTTCTGCCTCGAATTACTGAGCCATGTGTAGGATCTTAACTTTCCCAAAAACAAACAAAAACTTTGGTTAACTCTTCATTTGAAAAAGAAGCACGACAACTTGTCTACTTCACTGAAAACCGACATGGGGTATATGTGGATCCATTTAAGTTTTCCTTAAAATGACCATAACACCCTTGTTCACTACGGAAAAAGAACAAAAATTCAAAAATTCTCTAACCACCTTCATTATTGTTGTCAAACTTTTTTTTTGGGGGATAAATTTCACTGTTGTTTTCATCAGGTGTTATACACGCGTCGAGAATCTAACTGTGTTGCACATTGTTTAGCCAAGAGTACGCTGTTTAGTATTGATGTTTAAAGTGGTTTGAAGTTCACTTAATATAATTCGTGATGTTCTTTTAAAGAATGAATATAATTGCAGTCAAACATTAAGTTTTTTATTTTATTTAATTTATTATTATAATTAATAAAAATTTCTCTGTATTGTATATGTTTCCTTAACAAACAAAAGGGGGTTGCAAATAACACTCAAAATTAGTCCTCAAAAGTTTCATACATGGGAAGTAAAGTTCAAATTGTACTTTGCTTATCTACATGTCAATTTGAAAAAGTAATTTTATTATGCACTTCAACACACTCTTCAAACTTTATTAATTGATTTATTATATTGTCTTTTGGTACCATTTGTTCCAAGGTGGCTCACCAAATTGCGCACCAAGTTGTTCATTATGAGCAGATAGAAGATTGCAACAAAAAAGTTTGAAATCAATCTTGGTTATTATTATTCAAGTAAGAAAAGAAAACTTTGTTCTTCTTCATGATGGGCATTTTGGTAAACAAACTGCAAGCTAATTACCATAAAAGATGAAATTATGACCTGTGGGAAATTAAATAAATTTTCACTCCAAAACAAAGGCTTAGGAGACAGAGCATTCTCCCCTCCAGAGAATCTCTGCACTGAGAGATAGCCTCTCTCTCTCTCTCTCTCTCTCTCTCTCTCTCTCTCTCTCTCTCTGTCTACAAAAATCCAACCCAAACCTTCAATCTGCTCAAAACCCAACTCATGGAGATCCCAGAAAAGCTTCTCAAGTTCAAGTTCCATTTCCTCTTCGCACTCATTTTGTGCCTTACCCTTTACGCTATAACCCTCATAGCACCCAGATTTCTGACCATTTTGGCTTACTTTTGGCCTCTCTTCCTCTCCACCGCTCTCTTTCTCTTCGCTGTTGTTGTCTTCGGGAAGACCACGTTACCGGTTACCGAGGCTTCCGGTGAAGGCCTCCTGGATTATGTCGCCGGGCAACCGGAACATGTCGTAGAAAGTTACAAGTCCGCGGAGCAGAACCAGAGTTGAGGAAAAAGATCAGAAATTTTATTTATTTTGTCTCTGTAATTTCTAACTTTTTCCTTTTTGTTTTTTGTTTTAATCTTCCTTTTGGGTTGTAGTTGACAAATAGTTGACGGTAAATTCTGGGAAGAATAATGTCCTTAATTGACATATGGGTCCCCTTCATTTTGGCTTTCTTTTATTATTGTCACAATTATTACTTACATTGGTAGCTACTTTTTTCTTTATAGCACACTTGATATCATGCTATTAATCTAATTTATTATCTTTGTGATAAGGCACTCGCACTAGTGTTTTTCGGCTCATTTTAAGGTATTAAAATATTATGCAGAACCCCAACTGGGTTTAACCTAGTAGAAAATGGCATTGACTTGCAAACTAGTGTTTTCATGTTCGAATTTTCATGGCACCGTGATAGTGTGTGTTAGAGAAACATCCATCTTCCTATAGTTTAAACTATCGCTTGTACTAATGGCGGATCTAGCCATTTTTCAGCTAGCTATTGCCAGGCAGAAAATTTTCAGAAAAAAAAGGTGCATATGTACTTAACATATATGAAAGAGAATCTGCTAATAATGAGCGATAATTGAAGAATTTAAGACTTCCAAATTTCTCGTTGGATAAAATTTTAGATTTAAATAATGTTGTTTTGTATTGCATTACATTTACTTGTGATTTTTGTTTTTGTTAAATTTTTATTTATATATAGAAATGCATTAGTAAATAAATTTCGTCTAGTTGGCTATTAAATTCTGGATCGGCCCACGTAAAAAAATTATGCAGAATGATAAATTGGGAATGTGAATATCTCTGGACTATTTGGGAAAAAGAAAGTTGCTTGGAATGGTTTTATTTGGTGGCGAATTTCAAAATATCACGTCCTGTCTCATGTATAATAGTAAAAATATATGATTGATTTGGAATATCGCTACACGATAGTAAAAATACGTGATTGATTTGAAATATCGGGTGTAAGTGAGGGGGATGTAATCTTCTATAATAGTAAAAATACGTGATTGATTTGAAATATCGCTCTATAATAGTAAAAATACGTGATTGATTTGAAATATCGCCGTGTCTTGGTAACATTCCAGGTGTAAGTGAGGGGGATGTAATCTGTAAAGAGAATAAGGTGCGGATTTTGCACTCTCGGAAGTTTTGGGAGGTGATGTGAGTGGTCGTGATTGGACACAATGTCGAAGTGATTAACGTGTGATGGATCTAGCGTGCCGATTTTGCACTCTCGGAAGTTTTGGGAGGTGATGTGAGTGGTCGTGATTGGACGCAATGTCGAAGTGATTAACGTGTGATGGATCTAGCGAGCTGATAATGCCCATTTCATTATCTTCTTTTTGTTGTAATCGTTTGTAATTTTGTGCTTAGGGTATTTAGTTTTTCAACTATTTTTCTGCTTTATTTTTATTTTTATATTTTATATTGCAGTTTCAGTCTTCCAGATAAGCCCTAAATGTGTGTACTGTGCACAGATTCCCTAATTTTTCCAAACCATTGACACCGACAATTTTTTTTTGTTTTCTTGTATTAATCTACTTTGTACGATAAAGTCAAGTAGGGGAGGGGCCAATCTTTTAGGTCCAATAAGGTTTTCAAATTTCAAAATTGTACAATTCTCTCCGTTTGTTATACAATAAATTTGTTAGAATCAGTGATTTAAATGTGTAGAATTTTTTAATACAAAGCGATAATCTAAACTACCACAGTATCGCAGAAGTAATTTAACCCAAATGGCTTATTCAAGTTTCATACTCATCAAGGGCCTAGAAATATCCACACAACTGTATTTATTAAATTAGTTAGCGATTTTTCGATTCATATTTTCGCTATATGCACTTCAAACTTAATATTTTACAATTTTTCCGTGTTAAAACACTCGTGTCGTGCTATATGATCCAAAAAAAAAAAACAAAACATGTGCTATAGGAGGGCTAAAAGAGGGGTATTGAAATCCCTTGCTTATTAAATTCTCAAATCAGAAAACACAAATATTTGTTCACATAATTGTAATGGCATACCGTAATATTCTATCAAAGTATATTGTAGGACATCTAATAAGTGGGAATGGAGGCGTATGATGTGATGGTACCTAAAAGTGGATCCACTGGATTATGTCCCCATCTAGCTGCGAGAGAGTTCAAGAAATTGAATGATTATCCATAAGGTGTGTGGGGACCACATCATTTGTGCGCCCCACAATCATTTCAGTTTGACAACCGACCCAAATAAGGGTGTGTGGGGACTCAAGTATGAATTGTCTTCTGGGCCATAATAAGGGTTTTTCCTGGCCCAACTCAGAGAACCCAAAGAATATACACAAAATATTAAAAATATTATTTTTCAAATGTTTTTTTTTTTTAATGGTTTCAATGTTTATACAAACAATATTGGGAGATGAGGGCCCATTGCATACAGGCCCAACTCAAAGAACCCAAAGAATATACACAAAATATTAAAAATATTAATTTTTAAATGTTTTTTTTATTTATGGTTTCAATGTTTATACAAACAATATTGGGAGATGAGAGCCAATTGCATACACAAAGGTGTCTTACTCAACGAGAACATATCCTTTCCTTTCATGTAAAAACATAAATGCAGAAGCAGATAACCCAAAGTTTAACATCCTAATCTCTCATCATAATACAAAAAGGTTGATTCCCATTTTGATCAATCTCTTTCTATTGTTGGCTAGAAGCAGTCCTATTTTGCAATGTGATGAAGGAGAAAAAAAATTTGTGTCCGCTAGATGCCGCCGACAAGTAAAGACTTTCGCGGTCATGAAATGCGAAATTTCAATGTCAGCAATTGTCATTATGCAAGTTGGTTTCACACATTGTATCAATCCAGTAAACCAAAATGAACAATGATCACTAAAATGCTTAGAGGCAGTCTAACCATTTTTAACCAAAGTGTTCATAGGGAAGAGATGTATTGGAGTGTTTCTGATATGGCCTCATGTATAAAATTTATATCACAGAAAGGGTAAGCAATCTTACATATTACAATCTTACAAGACACTTCTCGGAATGAAAACCAGCATGATGCCAGAGTTACTTTTCTGTTGAAGGTGGTTGAGCAAGCATTATATCTGATATTGACAAGGTTCCTGACTGATCAACGTCAAGATCTTCGAATTCCTCCATCACGAGTCCAATATCTTCTTGGCTAATCTTCCCCATCTCTTTGAGCTTATATATGATAAATTCAGCAGCCCTATGGAAAACAAAGGACGCGAAAGAGAATGGAAAGTTTGTTATGAAACCATCAGCAAATTAGAATTCAGAAATAAGCCCATACTATGGAAATAATTTTGGACAAAATGAAAACACAATCCCACATACCCAACTACCCCATCACCATCAAGATCAGCTGCCTCCAAATCTACATTTGTCGTCCTACGAGTAAGAACCCACTTGACCAATGCCCTTTGCCTGCTCTGGGAGTTTAGCTCAGCAATGTAGAGGAAAAACTGAGCTAAACAAATGGTACTTGTCAATATCCAGAATATTGCAAAAACACGCCCTGCTTGAGTTGAAAAGCTCTTATCTCCATACCCCAGGGTTGTGATGGTAGAACAAACGCAATAAAATGCATCCACAAGGTCCAATTTCTCAACAGTAGCTAGGAAGATTGTGCCAGCACTTATGAGTACCAAAAGAAGGATAAAGGCCACAATGCATTTGTACTTCAAACTGTTAGTCTCAACATCTTTAAGAACTTGAATATGACCAACTTTTTGATGCATATGTAAGGCTTTAACAAGCAACATTTCCTGCTTCTCTACCAAGTAGTCGGCTGCTTTGCTCAAGATCAACCCAACAAGAGCCATTCCTGTGAAGACAAAAGCACAGGCCAGTAGTTTCGAAAGAATGCTGTTTGGCACTAGGTCTCCATATCCAACAGTGGTCATTGTCACAATACAGAAATAAACAGCATCAAGAACTCCATTTGTCTTCTCTCCCTTGATCTGGTTCCTGACGAGGTAGAAGCAGATAGTTCCTATGCCTAAGTAGAAAGCCAGGAATATGGCTACTTTATGAAAACTCGGGTGTAAATTTCGAAAAATGGATTCAGTAACTGGAACTGAGCCAGTGTTGGTTGTCTCTAAGGGTGCATACTCTGCAAGAGGAGCACTTCTACAACGGCGATATTTTCTACTCTTCAGAGGTTCTCTCACATCATCCATAGCCATTTGGACGATTCACGATTCAGATTTCAGCAAATTACATGACCTGCAAAGCTAGAAGCTTAGGCAGGTTGCGAAATATAGCACGCCAGCTAGAAGCTAGAATCTTTTAATTAACCGACTGATTTAACAATTAGTTACCAGCAAGTATGTTATTTAGTTGATCTACCATCTTTGAAGCATAGTTTGAAAACAACTTTCTACAGGCACAACAGAATACTATGATTGCAAAAATCAATTACCTCTAAAACTAAAACTAAACCTTAATTTTCATCTTCAATCAAAATAGTGAATTCTCATTTCCAGATTTCATTAAAAAATCCAATTAAAAAAGTTTGACAGCGTATGGATACTAGATTGATCTCAAAACAACATAAATCTTGAAGTAACTATAAACCCATAAACCCAAAAAAGAAAAAAAAGAAAAAGAAAACCCATAAACCTTTATCATAAATCGTCCTTGAATTTTTTTAAACATTCTCATTACGGTCCTTCAATTTTCAAATTCATCAATATGATCCTTCATTTTTTTTCCTTTCTCTAAAGCTGAATTTGATTTCTGTCTTTGCATTTCATCAAGAGTCTCATTAAAACTGGTCGTGTGTTAAGCTTTAAAAATATATTTTCATCAAAATATAGCTCATCTGCCCAAGAGGCAAAATAAAACTCTCGCTCTTTGCTCAACAAGGTGATCTATTCTCTATTTATGATTTTATACTGGGGTTTTATTAAAGAGAGCAAATGACCTTGTTGAGTAAAGGACAATTTCTAATTAAAATTAATGACTCATCTAATTAGACATGACTAAGTTAAAGATATTTACGACTAAACATGTAATTTTTGAATATTTATGTATTTGATATACTTGCATTTTCTATTTCAACCCCGAACCTTACAATTCTAACTACACTCCTTGATTGACACTCCAAAATTTAAGTCATTTGTAGATTAAAATGCGAATTTAAGTAGCATTCTTGGAGAAGCTTTTGGGAATTCGAACATTATTATTGTTTTTTTCATTGCAATTGCATGAAAATTATATAAGTCAAAATTATTTATTTTTCTTCAATACATTTTTCAAATTTAGAAGGTTGTCAACTTCATTTTCTATTCATCTTAATTATTCACTACCAAACTTCTAACCTGTTGCTAATCTCTTATAGTATCCTTTTTTTTTCTTTTTTTTTTTCCATTGTTACTTCTATCACATTAGTTAGTTTTTGGTCTAGTATCACTCAGTCTTCAATTTATTTGAAATCTCATGGACATTGATTGTTGAATTAAAAAGAACAACAACTTCTATGATATTGCACATATATTTTGTGTAATGCTTCCAGTTTTAATAATTGGAAAACTATTTGTTTAAAAAAAATAAAATCATGTTTCTTATTTGTTAGCTTTTTAAATTTCAAAGGTAAAGTAGAAAGAAGTATAAAGAATTTTTTTATTTTTATACAAATGGTAATTTACTTTAATTTGTGTAAGAATATTTTTTTTATTTACTAGCCTCTTCGCACGCGCTTCCGCGCTTGCGAGAGGTTTTTTTTATAAAAAAATTCAAATTTATTTTAGAATTAAAAAAAGATAATGGGTAGTTGTGTTCCATAGAAAGAGGATCCATTATCTGATTTTT